TTCCACTGATTTTACCAAAATTTCCTAAGTGCTGAGAAAGGCAATATATCTTCATTTGATTTAAAAAAAAAAATCTTATCTTAAAAATGAGGCAGGCTGTTTGCATCTCACATGTCTGTGTTTGGATAGCCAGTCAGACAGCCATTCTGAAACATCCTCTGGGGGACTGTTTAGAGGAGACGCGTTACCTTTCACTGTGATGGCTTTGTGCAAGGCAGCGACATCTGAGGATGGATTGAAGCTAGGGTAGGGACTCACCGCCGACCCGGGGCCACCTTTGGATGCTTTCACGGTTTTCTTAAGGATGAGAGAGAAATCAATTAACATCCATTCACTCATATTAGTTTCTATTTTAATATAGTAACTAAGTCATTTTATTGTCACTCTACTTACAACGTATTCCTGCTCTTCGTTGTCAATAAACCAGGCCTGCTTGAGGAACTCTGAAACCATTGCCATTTTTAAAGAAGTGTCTGGAAAGAAAACAGGTAGATGCTTTTACAAAACAAACCCATCACACAGGACGCAGCATTGTGGGCACACTGCCCTTCCTTTCCAGGATCACGCTTAGGAGCATAATAAAATACGAGACACGAGGTTTTTCCAAGGAGGGTCTTACCCTTGAAAAGAACCTCTTAACCTCCACTCAGAAACTGGGCTTTTTCTTGGCATATTCAGTCCTCAACTTTAGGAAACAAGGTAGTGTACAGGCTGGAGAGAGGTGCTGGTGATCCCTTCACTTTTCTAAATTTACAACCCACTGCCATATGCCAAGCCCTGAGGTACAAAAACATTGAAATATCATCCTTTGCCTCAGGAACTTGGAGCTAGTGTGTGCTCTCTCCATGGGAAAACACAAAATCTGAGAAAGCCTCATAGAGGGGGTGCTGGTTGATCTGAGCCTCTCTTGAATTGAGTCAAGATTAACCTGGCAGAAAAGTTAAAGAGAATGACACGAGAGAAGCTTGTCATGTTTGGGAAGCTGGGAAAAAGTTTGCTGGAGCAAAAAGTGTTGGCAGAAACTGGAAGAAAGAAGTATAAATGTATCCCCAAAGCTCTGGAAAAATGTTAATGGGTTTTTAAAAAGAAAGCAGCATGGCTCCATTTATATTCTGAAAGATCACTCATCCCGTAACGTGGAGAATGGCTGCAAGATAGGCAAGATGGAAAATTAGGGATCATTTTAGCAGGCTGTTAGAGAAGCTATGCAGAATTAATGAGGGCCCCCACAAAAGCAAGGGCTAGAACAAAAGCTTAGTGTTGACTTTTTAAAGAGAAAATAATCTGTGACGATCTGCCGGAGGGGATTCAGATTCAAAACTCTATCTGAAAAAGATATCCAGGTGATCTTTCTCCCTGAATAATTTAGTTTCCTTTTCCATTTCTTGGTAAAAAATCATTTCAGCACTTGGAGTAAGTGCCATTCTCTCATTTCTTCCTGTCTGAGCTCTCTAAATACTAGTCCTATGTGTATTTCTACACAACACAAAAACCCAGAAAAAGATTATTTTGTACAGGTTTTTGTTCAAACAAGCAGCACTGCGTGAAATTGCAACATGCATGCTCTTTTGGCAAACTCTATCTTAAAGGAAATTTCTTGGACTGTTATCGTGGTTTGGCAACATTTTTACTTAATAAATATATATATATATAT